TATGCGGGGCCAAAGCGCTGGGCAAAAGAGTCAACAACGCAAGCCTCTCGCAACCTCTGGAGAGATCTCCTTCCCCAGCACCTAGGCTACGAAAAGCTAGGGATAATATCAGCACCCACCAGGCCAAAAGAACTTGCCCTTCCGCGCGCCACTCTAGGTCGAATTCTAGCAGCTAGATCTGGGCACGGCGACTTCGCTGACTATCACGAGCGGTTCAATCATGAAAATGCATCAAATTACTGCCGTTGTGGCCGTCGTAAGGCCCCACTACATTGCTTTTTCTGTCATATAGCGAAAATAAGATCACGACTAATGCAGGGTCCGCCTTCGGAAATGATCCCGTTCATTCTTGGCACATATGAAGGAGGTCAAAGATTTGGAGAATGGCTACAGGAAACCCGATTCTTCACAGATATCTGCCCATAATCTTGAGGTTTCAAGTGTCGCGAAAAACCAGCAAACGAAGGAAGGAAGATAAGCAATTTAGACTCCTTTTTTTTTCTAATTTATTTTTCCGGTAGTGGAGGTCAACAGGGAGTGTGGGTTGACCTGCGCAGAGAATGGCGCCGAGCAAGTATCTTACTACTACAAATAAGAGCCTAACAAACTGCGGGAAGTAGCTATGTGAATGCACCTCCTTTATATGTTAAATAGTTTAATTTTGTTTTTTTGCTTTCCTTTAAAACATGTAGAAGCCCAGAGATTAAATCCTGGCGTCTTTTGTCTCAGTAGGGACTTAATAGGGTTACTCGCTTGACGCGTGATCCGCCAGACGTTAAATAAAGATAAATAAATAAATAAATAAAAAATGCGCTCTACAACCTCAATGACTGAGGCGTCATAATTTCCTTAATATATCTAGCCTTTGGCTTCCGCGCTGACGGGCCAATCATCATACAGTTTTACACGATATTATTATGATTGGTATGTGATTTGGGAATGTATATTTGCGCTGGGATAGCTAAGATAGTTTGTGGAGAGATATCTTCATTAACATGCAGAAGTAAATTTACCATGGTGATTGTTTGTGACGGGCTAGGACTTTCGGCCAATGCACGAAAGCAATGCCACAATTAAATGTTTATATTTTCTACGAGGAAATCACGAGCGGGAAGCTACGGCTCTTTATAACTACAATGTCTGTTCCAGATCCCCTTGCCCTTTACACGTGATCTGATAATACTCCCGTACAGTGAGAAGATTTACAAACTCGCATGAGCCTTCAAGATAAGGATGGGCCCTATAGCCTTAAACAGCCCAGCCAGAACCCAGCCGGGCCTAGCCCGTAACATTGTTATGTTAAAGATTGGGGGAAGCTCGTCCCTTAACCCCTAGCTTGTTCGCCTGTAGATCGATCACGTAACCAGTATGCAGCGCACCGAAGTTTCCTCCAAACTGAGCAGCTATGCCATTTGTCCTATATCAGCAACCCGTCTCTCACACTACACACAGTACTACTTGTAATGCCTTTATGTGGAGACTGGATTTCCTTCATGCGGCATAATGCCATACTGCCATAATAACTACTTATGCACCAGCTACTAGATCTATCACACTATATAGCTGAGCACAACAGATATCTGTAACACTCAGAGAGGGCTCCGTGTGAAAGTCACGTGGATAGTTCAAAGGTGAGAACGAATACAAGAATAAATTATGGGTTACTTCGCTCTGCGAGTCCCTCGTGTGGTGCAGCTTACACTATAAAATACACTATAAAAACAAGCCAAATATGGGTGATGTTCTCTGGTATAGTTTGAGTAGCCTGGGCACCTACTCCACTTGGGAAGGATACACCCCAGACCACATTTCGCGCCGAGGAAATATGATAGATAACTAAGGCATGTCTGGATAACTCGGGGTTTTTGAGACGTTCCCCTGGCTAGGTATTCACGGATGATGGTTGACTTGGGGTGAAGAAAAAGTCGCCATAAAATTTGCAGTGGCACTTGCAAGTAAAATCCGAGGCGTGATTGCTCTTCGTTTACATTGAGTTGCCTATTGTGAGATTTTTCTCTGACATTGTGTCATAGCTAGATAGCTGTATACGCAATTAAAATCCGATGCAAAAAGAGTCCCTCGTAGTACAATGATATCTGAACCTATCCTTAATTAGGACCCCGACCATCATTACCTGCCTGGAATATCTGCACGTAGATGTACTTTCCCTTTTTCACTATATGCGGGCTTTTTCCAACATAAATCTGCTTACAGTATCACCTATAGTACTTCGTTCAAACAACTGTGGAGCGTCGAGAATCAAATCAGTTTGGCTTACAATTCTATTATTATATATTGAAGAAATCCAAGGGTTTCAAGGTCGCTTAGCTCAGTTGGTTAGAGCGTGGTGCTAATAACGCCAAGGTCGCGAGTTCGACCCTCGTAGTGACCAAACGAAAAAATTTGTTTTTCATGAGGCCGTATCTAGAAAATGTAACGCTGACTACTCACTCACCACGTCTTGATGAGCGAGACAATTAACGCGCTATGGATGTGGGTTGAAGCTTGTAATCTAGGACTATGAAACAATATTAGGCACATAAGACCAGTGGTCAGGGTAACGGCCGTATCCCATCATATTATGTTTACTCTCTAAACAAAATGAGAACAACAGTCATCCGCTGACTTGGGTTGTGTATGACGTTTTCATTGTATTACTTCGATAACAGATCAACTAGTACTTTGAGCTCCTCTCTGGCTCAGGCCACAACCTATACAGTACTCTCAATTTCTATTGTTACATGAAATATCAGTGTTCCACCACCAGTAATTAATAGCCATTCAGCAGGGTAATTATGCATCGAATCCAGACACCTTTACCAAGGAACTTTTTTACCAATAGAATAAAAAAAGGTATCAATCGAAACGGTGTGCGAGGGGAAAAGTTTCAAAAATCTCAAAGCCCTAGCAGAGCGAGGTACGCAAATCCATCTTTATCTCTCCTCTCTGCGACATTAGAGGTCAGCACTGTCCTACATAGTTATAAACTCAAATAGGACATAAATGGATTATTATTATTATTAGAGGTCAGCTTTATTAAAGTTCTAGGGGGTATCTGGAATGATAGAAGTGAACGTTGACCGTCAAGTCAATACTATACGAATCGTAAGATATTGAGGATTTAAGGATCAGGGATAAAAGGTTAGGATCAGTGAGGTTTTTGGTTTTACTGAACTAATATTTTTTTGGTAGATAAAAGTATTAGGGTTTAATCTACATCTAATTGTCTATCTATGTTCTACCTCGCTTAGGTAGAAACATTATGTTCTGATTACGTGATGGAATAACATTCACACCACCTAGATCATTACCAACCGAAACCTCACCAAAGCTGGTAGCGATTGAAGATGAGAAGTCTTCGCCTACTACGCACTGCGTGCAACTCGGTCTGTTATGTCTAGATTTCAACAAGCTTAATCTAATCCACCACCGCCGCATTGGATACGGAGCCTGCTCCAAAAACTTATAGGATAGCTTCTCCATAACCAAGGGTGGCTGAGGAGAAGGACTTTGACCTTATCATCTGATCTGATGGTGGTCAGATTAATGAAAATGGTGATAGGGAGTTGTGCTGAGAGATGAAGACGATACAGACTGCGAAAGCGATTAGGAATCTTCATCAAAGTGAGGGAGAAGTTGCTGCTCAAGCTCGGCTCTGTAGACTCTACAGTGAGAGCCGGAGGTTCGTAGGGGCCACCACTAGCAGGCGTTGAGAAATTTCCCCCTTGCCCGCGGTGTCTTACACCAACCTGGACTGAAATATCCCAATAGAACCATATACAGTCGAATTTCGCAATATAAAGTAAGTTGGTCTTCGAGGCAATGTTTCAAGGCTCTCCACCAAATTAATTTATCGCTCCGAACGAGATCGATTCCTACCAAAGTATCATCTAGTCAACACGTTCGACATGATGTATCTTCATTTATTGACCATACCTCTCATCAAATCAGTCTCTGGCCTCAAATAGCCTTCACATACGCATCTATAAATCAATGTGTACCCACCGAAGAATTTAAATGTGACGTATAAATATGTGAGCCAGATCTTTGGACGTGAAGTGAGATGTATCAGGACACAATCTTGGAAAGGTTTAGATTTCGAATCTCGAGGAGTTTATCGCATTGAAGAGCTTTGTGCGCTCTAAAACTTCGATGACGAGAGTGCAGATGATACTGCAAGAGCAGTTGTAGTTGGATGGTGCTTCACCTAGGCTGGTCTGTTGGCTAGATTGTTTAGATTACACACCTATGCCACTTGAGATAGGAGTCGTTGGCTCGAGTCCAGCCAGACGAGACCATCTTTCTCGCCGTGCTGGCGTAAATGTATGACGAGAGCTTACTTGAATAAGCCAAGGCTCTGAAACTCCCCTTTGGTGGGTAAATTAGATTAGATTAGATTTGTATCATAGTCCTAACTGAGTCAATGACTATTGAGGACTCCTAGAATCTACAAATAAGATACTAGCTACATGTTGTAAGTTCCTACTTATTAACTTTATGCTGTGCTCTTATGGACAGTGAGGGACACGCCCTGAATGGTGGGTAATCATGGATGGTCGACAGTTTGTGTAAACAATCATATCTCATAGTGGTAGTACGAATGAAATATAGAGTATGAGAGTTTTGAATCAAAATATCCGTCGAACATGTGTACATAGAACTGATCATGTACTATAACTAATTGCACATTGTATGATCTACAAAAAAGAGACGCGACATAGCTCACTGGCCTGCTCATCCGATAAGGCTGAGATATGACGGAATACCCTAAGATACCCCACCGCTGGGTATGACGAAAGATCATTTAATCGAGTTAGCACTGACTCAAATGATTGGCAATTCAACACACCGACAAGAACATATCGAGTTTAGAGGTAACTGTTACATCAACAGTTCTTTACCTTCCAGATCTTCAAACGACCTCAGCTCTCGCATAGTTGGCTCATTAGATCCAAGCTGTTGACGCATTATTAGCGAATCTCTTATATTTGGTTCCCGTGATGACAATGCCTCTAACCGTAGAAAGAGTCGCAAGATGCATGGCAGAAGCAATTCCGACCAATGCTAAAGACGATAAGACCTACAATATCACTAGTCCATATCAATCAATCGCCCTCTTCTCCCACGCATGTATTGTTGCTTCTGGTCTCCGTCTGATTGGTTTAAGTGAAGGTCAAGTAACGAGTATAAATAATTATATTCTATTAGAAAGTTTATTGCTAATTTAAGCTAGAGGAAGATTGTAACCACATAGCTCCTCGCCTCCCGGCGGAATGGAGCACCTCTTTAAACTATTTCACATTTATGTACATCAATCAACAATCCTCCTCAAAGTATGTTGTTAAGGTTGATCAATTAGGAGAAAAAGCTGAGATTAGAGCTATAAAACTTGGAGAGAATCAAATTATCAGACTTGAAGTCGCAGTAAGGGATTACATATCTTCAGCTGCACTACCTCTACGACTCACAATGACAGTGACGGGAGATGAAGATCGGTCCAATCTGGATGAAAATTTTGAAAAAGTCTTCTTTTCTCGCACAAAGCTAAAAGGTAAGATCATTTACGGGTCTAAGCTGATAATTATATTCGCTAATAAAAATAGAACTTATGTCTCTGATTTATGACTCAATTGTTGTAAATCTAGTCACAAATGCAACCAATGTTAACTGTGACTTACCAATTAGTTCATTGAAATCAACAAATAATGACGACATAGAAAATATTACCCCTCATCGCAAACTATCTCAGACTTCAGAGAAAATACAACCTCATAATACTCCTATCTCTATTCCGACACAAACATGTTCCTCTCAAGATTTCACTGCTTCAACATCTAGAGTCTACCCCCCGGGCGGCGACTTTCCACCTCCTGGCTTTGATGATGAGTATGATATGATGCGCCTCCCACAACCTCGACCTCATATTTATGGGGAAGTGCCGTTCAATATTGGCCATGATGACCTTAACCCTCCCAGCTTAGGTCCACATGATCCCCTTAGAGGCAGCTTCGTCGGGGGTGGTATTGGTGGAGGTACGAGAGGTATGCATCCCACCTTTGATGATCCGCTATTTGGAGGTGTGGAACAAAACAATAGTAGAGGCCAAAGAGCTGTAGTTCCGCCAGGAGCAAGATATTATCCCACTGGACCCGGTGATCTGCCTTCCAACAGAGGGGGACCACCAAATCCCTTCCAAGGATTTGGTGGGGGAGGTTTTATATAGAAATTATATCTAAACAGAAATTATTTCTAGATTGCTAAATCAGTCAGGGACTCGGATGACATGGCAGTGGACACGTAGGAGGCATGAAGCCCTTTTAAGGCCTCTTAGAGCTCTATCCAAACTAAAGTCGGTCAATCACTTAATCTATTCAGCAAAAACCAGGACGTTGCCTGAGTGTTTATTGGAACATGTTGAACAAATCATATTTATATGTTGCCATAAACTTTTAAAACTTGTAAGATATCTTTAGCGGTCTTTCATAGTCTTAGACTCAGCAGGTATTTAATGTCTACTCTATCATTTTCTATTTAATAAAAAACTAGTGTGATAGACCTTGGGATCTAGAGTCAGAAATTGGGAAAATGTTGTATGGTTCGATATCTACAACCTATTACATGCCGTAAAAGGCCAAGTTCATATATTAGTGGAAAGTACTTTACCGCTATTGCATATATTGTGCCGTTTCACAAGATCGCCATGTAACATGGTACTGGAATTTGGATAGGATAGCGTTACACAGTACTATGCAGATCAATCTACCTGGACATCCTAGTTTATCCGGCCAACTAGCTCCTTAGAGACGCGGAACAGCTAGCTCATTCGTAAAGACCCGATTTCCTTAGGACCGCTATCGTAAGGAAATTAAAATGCAACCGTGTTGTGATGGTCAAGGATTTTCCAAGCTTTCCATTGCTGATAGGTATGGTAGTGATATTTTCAGATTCTGTAATGTGTACTTAGCAATCTAGCAAAACATGATTAGTTCTCTGTGGACATGTTACACCAGTCTTCTGATATCGGACACTTCTAGTCTGAATTACATTCACAAGTACCACTATGTGGTATGATTATCTACACAAACTGTCGATCCTCCATGGTTACCCACCAAAGGAGAGTTTCAGAACCTTGGCTTATTCAAGCATGCCCTCGTTATCCATTTACACCAGTGCACCATCCAACTACAACTGCTCTTGCAGTATGGTGTGCACTCTCGTCATCGAAGGTGTGGAGCGCCCAATGCTCTTAAATGCAATAAACCCCCCGAGTTTCGAAAACCCAAGCGCTCCCTGAATATGCCCTTCACTTGCAGTGTTTCGCCCGTAAATCCGGACACGTCTCACTGCTATCCCAAAGATCCATCCTACCAGGCTTGCGTCGTCCGGCAGGAATTAATACTGCCGCGAGCGCGTACTTTGGCGCTAGATAAAGCTAGCAACGTGGTCGACGAGAGGTGTGGTGCGGCTATAGAACGGAGGATGTGCTAGGTCGTATTTGAAGATTCGATGATGCTTTGGGCTAAATCCATCTTGTTGGGAGTGAAGAATTAATGTGCTAGGTGGTCTTGAATCATTGCATGGTGAGCCAACTTCGTCGTAGCTAAATATGGCCGAGCTTGGCGCCGGGAGGGCATCTAATCCCCAGGTTCGTTATTGATGTTATGGGCCAGTATTCGATCTTGATCCCTTGTGGAGAACTTATTTCGACGTTCGCGAATGTGATTGATTCAAAGGTCTAGCGGATCTGACAGTAACACTGAGCCTCGTGACAATGCGAAGAATGGCGTGTAGCGCAAGAATTAAGCTGCTCAGTTGACTTGATCGCTGCTCCTGCTCATCAAAGAAACTGAGTTCATCAAGTCCTGGCTGACGTCTGCTCCATCCTACCCAGGAAAGTGACGGCTGTCAGACGTCTAGTACGTCAAAAATATTCCTTGATGCATGAGCTTAGCCCCCACCATGATAGACAAGAAGATTGCAGAGAAGGTCAAACGCTTCCACGACGCCAGTATCGACCACATCGACTGCCCATCATAACCCCGGCTCCACCATCATCCCGGATTATTCCGTCGTTCGACTGAATGCTGATATTCTAATTTTCTCGTTTCCATTTCAACTACCATCATCAAGCTCATTTTCGACGGATGATAACCAACAATCTTCCATCTTCAACAAGCTTCATTTCTCCACGGTGTTCAGAATTTCAGCAACAGTCTAGAAACACTGAGAATAGCCGTCGTATAAGGGAGAAATAAACCTATTATGTGGGGGTATGGGACCTGAAGTACGCATCTAGTAGTGAAACATCAAGGGTTAATGCATGTCAATTTCTATTCCACAAAAGTGCCGTTGACACGTCCGACACTGTCTCGGCTAAAATGCCGCATACCCAATCTAACTATGATAACAATACCAGGTCAAGCAAGATAAATATTCGGCAATACCAGGGTTCCTATCTGACAGATATGCAGCATTCAGACGTGGCTCACAAAGAAGTCGTCTTTTAGGAAGTGATCCTGGTAAAAGTACCTAATACTTGAATTCTGCAAGTGAGATTATAAATTATCATTTGTTAAACAATTACGACGGGATAATATCCTCCGTCAGATAGCCAATACGATATAAGCTAGCATGTGGAAGATGGTAGCGATCTCGTGTTATGCACCTGCCCGACAGGCAATCATTTTAGCACCTACCTGTGCCTATGTAGCTTAATGTAACCCATTGTCTCAATGCTTCTAGATGCGTACCAAATGGGTACTTCGTACCACCTCATCTACTGCCTCCGCAAACATATCGACATTGCTTGTATTCAAACCTGCCATGCTGATGCGGCCGTTTTTCGTCATGTAAACATGCGAGATTTCTTGTAACTTATCAACATGTTGCTCATTCAAGCCAGTAAATGTAAACATGCCAATCTGGTCAGTTATGTGGTTCCAGGTACCTGGAGTTTGGAGCTCTTCAAGTCGTCTTCGCAAGGCTTTCCGCATGGCAATTATCCTTCCTGACATTGTTCGGAGGTCATCTTCCCACTGCTCATGTAAGGTTGGATCATTAAGAATTTTATCAGCAATTCGCGCTCCATAAGCGGGAGGATTAGATATCTCAGATCTTTGAAGAGCATTCAGTTGGGAGAAGACCCGATTAATTGTCTGCTCGGCCTGAGGAGAGGGACAGGTAACAAAATGAAAGCACCCCACACGCTCGCTATACAGACCAAGATTTTTTGAAAATGACTGGGCGATACACATCTCGAATCCTTGCTCAGCAAAATGACGAATGGCCCATGCATCTTTTGCTGTATCACCAGATGCGAAGCCTTGATACGCGCAGTCAAAAAAAGGGAAGTGTGACTTTTGCTTCATAAGCACTGACAACTCTTTCCATTGACCTTGAGTAGGATCTACTCCAGTAGGATTGTGCGCGCAAGCATGTAAGAGAATTATACTTTGGTTTGGAGCATTAGAAATTGTGGCCATCATGCCTTCAAAGTCCAAGTTTTTCGTAGATTGAGAAAAGTAAGGATATAAAGCAGTAGGTACTGAGACATTTGAAAATATTTGCTTGTGATTAACCCAAGTTGGGTTACTCAAGTAGACAGTGGGCCTACCCGGGTGAAATTTTGAAAGAAAAAGTGCTCCAAGGTGAACAGCTCCAGTGCCGGAAATTGTTTGGATGGATGTAGCTCGTTTCTCACAAATCACGGAAGATTCTGCGCCAAAAATGAGCCTTGCAGCTGCTGATGTGAAACTAGCAAGACCTGAAATAGGAAGATATTCATGGTTAAGGGTTGGATCACTATGGAGAAGTTCCTCGGCCTAGACAAAAAATTAACAAATTTTATTAGGTTTACCCTCGATAACTCACTTTCCGAACAGCGGGTAGAACCCATGGCTTCGCGGAATTGTCTCGATATGCACCAATCCCCAGATCAATCTTATTTTCAAACTTATCAGCCTGACAGGCTGCCATCAAGCCGAAAAGGGCATCTCCCGGAGCTTGGGGCAGGATTTCAGGCGGGAAAAGTGTGGTGACTGGAGAAGAAATGTGCGACATTATGCTGTTTAATCTTTGAAATTGATTTGTTGCAGTATTTTCTGTAGGGTTATCTGATAACCGATCGGGGTGTAGTTGAATATTCTTTGATGACATATCGAGGAAACAAGAAACGCAAGTTATTAGACTCTAAACACGGACTTTATTCTACTTGTGCTCTTACTAGCGGGTAAAGAAATTATATTAATAGAGTCTAGAAAGTGAAAATAAGAGAACAAGTTGGAGCAATACATAAGAAGCAACCGTCAGCATGGGAACAGCTGTTACTTGACTGGATTCATGTCCGGATCTGGTTGGTAGAAGTAGAGAAATGTGGGGATGAAATGAGATGTGGGGCCATGAGCAGAGCTATTTTAGTACCTAGAATATTAGGCATAGGGGCACGGACAGTGACCTGAGTTTCTGACCAGCTATGTTGCCTCCCCCTTTCAGTTGTATCGACCACGTGTAACCTTGTTCAGGCCCTTCCAGCTTAAGGTTGTGTGGGTCTAATGATGTTTGATCATTTTTTGGGCCGAGAGGCTAATAATTTGCACATGATCGGAGGTAACATGTCCTTCTTCAGTCTATCCAATGGTTAAAGTCGTTTTTCTCTAGGAGCACAACCAACGCTTGTTTTCGTATTTTTTTCCTGGATTATTTCACACGATCAGGTCCCACATTACTAAAAAGAGGCTCAGCCCACAGGATGCATAAAATACAAGTTTGGCGGTGCTCTTTCGTTCGGTTGCCTTTCTCAATTGTTTATTTCCACCGCCGATATTCTCTGTTGTGAGATGAGAATCAGTCACAAGTTGCTCAATGTGGGCCGATTGTGTAGCCAAGTTATGTACAAGTTGATTTTGAAGCTCAGAAATTTCAACCAAGGATTTCTCTGCGGTTCTGTGTCATAGTTAATCTCCTTACGACCAAAGTGTTAAATTCTCTCACCTGACTTGATCCAGATTGCTCTCATAACGTCGTATCATGTCTTGGTTCTCTTGTTCAAACATCTGAATTTGTTGTGGACTCAACTTCTCATCCGTCATGGAAATATGGCTTTCAGAAAGTTCATACGCAGTAGGATTACCTGCTGACACGACTGGAATATTGCTAAACTTCTCCAAGCTTGGGAATCGATCAGATGGTGCTTGTCCCAACATACTTCGACTTTTCTCTATTTCGCGTGAAATCCGCTTCTCCATCATAGATGCTTGCAGACTTGCACATTTTTGAAGCCTCTCCCTGAGATAAAACAGAACGCTTTCCCTATGAGAAGTGATTGTGTTTGCCTTGGCCTCTTCAATTTCCTGTTCAGGTAGTTTGGATTGTGTCCCTCCCGAAGCCCAACTACCTAGACCTGCTAGGCCGAGTCGTGCGTACTTCTTTTTCAATATGGTGGTTTCAGTTCGTCTTCGCACATCTTCTGCATCTGCTAACATCCTTATACCAGCATTGAGCTCCCGCAAAACTTGCTTCATTTTAGCATCAATCTGCTCTTTGCCTTGGTCGGTCAAATGTTGACATTGTTTGTATTCTTGCGTACTGTGTGAACGTCGGGGAACTACTTCTTTAGATAGATATGCTTGGCGTATCCCTTTAAGAAATGTATTTAACTCTGAGATTCCATCATTCTTTCATGTCAGCCCAGCAAAGAAAGCATCGACTTCTGAGATTAAAGGACTCACAATCTTGTAGGCCTCATCTAGAAACTGATCGATGCGCGGACCTGAAAAGTAGCTAGCTGTGGTGAAGGAAGAATCATACTTTTTCAACTCTTCATTTAATTCAGGGGTTAAATCAGTCATTGTGAATATTATTTCATGTTAGTGACTAATGAGTGCTGAGTGTGCACAAGGTTTTATAAGGGTGTAGGTAAAAACCTCAATAACGCCACGTCATAATAACCCAGTGCTTCAAGATGCACAAGTTCCACTGACGCTTTATGACATGTAACATCAATCTAATGTAACTCAATATTTTGATTGAAAGAGATTTACATGAAACGAAAACTAAGTCGAGTTCATTTGAAATAATTGAAAGTAATTTTTAAGAATATATTCTTGTGTTACCCCTGTTTTTTGTTCGCTAGTAATGTCATTTTTTGGGGAAATTTCTCAACGCCTGCTAGTGGTGGCCCCTACGAACCTCCGGCTCTCACTGTAGAGTCTACAGAGCCGAGCTTGAGCAGCAACTTCTCCCTCACTTTGATGAAGATTCCTAATCGCTTTCGCAGTCTGTATCGTCTTCATCTCTCAGCACAACTCCCTATCACCATTTTCATTAATCTGACCACCATCAGATCAGATGATAAGGTCAAAGTCCTTCTCCTCAGCCACCCTTGGTTATGGAGAAGCTATCCTATAAGTTTTTGGAGCAGGCTCCGTACCCGATGCGGCGGTGGTGGATTAGATCAAACTGACCTCTATTGTCGCAGAGAGGGGAGATATAGATGGATTTGCGAACCTCGCTCTGCTAGGGCTTTGAGATTTTGATAAAATTCCCGGACACGTAGTCTCCAATGCTGCCATTTTTCTTCTTTTTAGGTAGGGGGCTCTGTACTATTGACTATTTTATTGTCATTTGATATTCTATAACTATGTAGCACATGAAAGGCATTTCTGCCTACAGGCCGAGGATACCTATATCAGTAGTATAACCCCTCCAATGCCTCCCATGCAACTCCTCTCAAGTCGACAAAATAATGGTCATTTGCGGGTGTATAGTAGCCGGAAAGAATCGCAAGAACCACTGGGTGCAGGGTTGTTCTAATTCCGACATTTGGATTGTTTCCGAAGACATAGTGACACTTCTGAAGCGTTCGAAGAGGCTGACCAATGGGGCGCTGCAGGCTTGCGGGTACTACAGGGGATTCACTCTCTGCCTTTCTAACCTCCTTCTAACTCCTTCCCGAAGGTCGTGCTGAAATGTTAGAAGATGCTTTATAGAGAGTGATTGCTAGGTAGCAGCTTGGCCCAGTTTCTTCTGTGCCGTCTGGGGTACTGGGGAGTGTCATTGGCTGATTATTTAATTGGTCTGAAAGCGACCCAATTTGGGGATAAAGAACTGGCTCTCACCATTCTGTAATAATCAATACTTAAGTTCCACACATGTAAATCAATTGATGTTTGTCTTTGTTAACTATATAAGCCTTTCCTGCGCCAGCACAAATTCCCATGTCATATACCAAGCTAAATACTGAATATCCATCGTGGATACCATACTAGACCTTTTTTCGTGACAGAAAATGATAGTAGCCCAACAGATAGGAAGTCATAAATTCAAGCAGTACAATAAAATTAAATCAACCAACTGGCAGAGCTGACAAAGACGTTCACATGACACCAAGTTCCTTCGAACCGCTCCAACTGCGGCTGAGATACGCCGCTATTACAATTAGTGGTGGCGTCTGCCGAGCCCACGTGAAATGAAATAAGTTTGACTTGATGGGCTCTTGACTTCGAGCGATTGAACTGCGGCTTTTTGATGGGAGGTTTAATCAAACGATGCCGTAGCGTACAAATTTTGAGGGAAAATTCGTCTCCAGCACCTTGCAGTTCATCGATGAGTTTCAGTCTAACGAGATATCTTGTTATGAGGATCGGACATCTTGCATTGTTCCACTTTCAGCGATGTACCCTTCTTGGAAATAATGGTCCAATGATAGAGTCTTGGAGTCATTTCGTTTTCTAACAATACGGCCCCTGACCAGGTAAGTGTTTTACTTGGTGTATGAAATGGGAATGTACACTTGCGCTGGAACAGCTAAGACAGTATGTGGAGAGATGTCTTCGTTAATGTGTAGAAGTGAAGTGACTATGATAATTGTTATATTACAGATTGGGGGAAGCTCGTCCCTTATCCCCTAGCTTGTTCGCTTGTAGACCGATCACGTTACCAGTATGCAGCTCAGCAAAGTGTGCAACCAACTAAGCAGCCATGCCTTTTTTCCTACATCAACAACCCATCTCTCGTAATGCACACAGTACTACTTGTAATGTCGTCATGTAGAGACTGGATCTCCTCCATGCGCTATAACGCCATGCTGCCATAATAACTACCTAGGCACCAGCTACTAGATCTACCATCCTACATAGCTGAGCATAACAGTAAGTCATGGGCACAGCAAACTATATTTACGAGAGCAGGCAAACAGAGAAGAGGCTCGGGGTATATGCCTTGATGTCAAAGGAAGAAGATTATCTTGACGTACGTCGAGAGTGTCAGTTCCGCACAGTCTTTTTTTGGGTGAAAGGCAACTAACTGATCTGTAGCTTTCGGTTATGTTGGGTATCAGTAAGCTGGCATATAAGAACCTGTCCCATGGAAATGAAAGAACTCAAATGAGCAAAACGAGAGAAAAGATATGATTAGTTTGATAGTCTATAGCTGATCGCTTTCCTGGACTCGAAATGCGCACGCCAAATTTAACTTCTGGTAAACTCATCAATATTCCGAAATTTCCAGCGCTTGTGACTCCATGGACACATAATGGTACGAAAGGCTTTCTTCAAGATACAAATCTATAGAAAAAAGGGTACCCTTCCTAGAATACTCAGGGTAGTGTTAGAGACTCAGTAGAAATTGCTTTGCTGAATCCTGTTATTTCCCTTGACTCACTGTTCAAGGATTGTTTTATTTCATCCTTAAACTATCGAATCTTGTGCTCCAGTAGCTAGGAAACTAGTCCAATTACCAGCTGAGTTCTAAACTATGAGTCCAGAGCATTGCAAGTCTCCATTCCCAACACGTGGAGGCTCTTGTAGAGCAACGCTCGTCCCTTGATAGCTGGAGGAGCTATGTACTCCACTGATTTAGTCAGTTGACAAGACAGTTCTCGGACAGTTTTGCAGGGCTATGGCAGCCTCTTGCCTACTTGGAAGTGGCGATGCCGCTGTCGGCGACTATTAAACCATGTCGCGTGAGAAGTTTCGCTGAAAGCTTCGACGGCTTGGCTTGAGGATGAAATTTCTTCCAATCTAGTCACTGAATACGTGAAGAGTGGGCGAGTTGTAAAGGGGAGATGCCTGCCTAACCCACTCAGAAACAGAGTAGGAAATGTTTGGGCAAACACGACTGAGCGAGACACGAATTCTCGCATCTTGTAGCTGATGTGTAGCTAGTCCATTTATGAAATACTGCAGGTCGAGCTCATGAATACACTCAAGCTTTGTACTGACCCAAGGCCGTAGTGAGCTCCCTCGCCGCACACCATCACTCTCAATTAAACCCCCTTTGAGCTTCTGAATCAGGTACCAGGAATGGAGCACGTGCCTTATAGGGTGAACTGGAATGACGCCTAGATCATTCATTCGAGCCTTGGCCATAGCTAGTGCTGCGTCTCACTCAAGGATAGGAACGATCATATTTCATCATTTTTACATTTGGAATGGCTGACAGAAAAGGGCGGAGTGTGATGTAGCATCCGCCCCCGCACTGGCAGTCTCGCTCCGTAATGCGCCGGATCCGTTCTTATTACGATGCTGTGTTGGCGTAAACGAGCAAGGATTTTTGGCTGGTAGCGGATACATCTGGAATACGAGGATGACATAATCATGGGTAGATGAAGACTTTTAGCTTTGTTGCATGATGTGTTAAGTCTTCAGCCGTCTTATATCCGGCTCCATGTTACTACTTCACCCGCGCTATTGCGGAGGAGGGCAATGACCGAACACCTGTACGAAACAGGTTGTGAAATATACTCCCAGAGTCAAGTTCAGTCAAATTTCACAATACCGAACAAGTTGGCCCACGAGGCAATGATTTAGGACTATCCGCCTAATTAATTTCTCCAGCCCGCCAAGACCTCATCAAGTTTACAAGCACGACCAATTCCATCCTCATTTCAATAACCACACGTCTCATCGACTATTCGCTAGTCTCAGATGGCCAACAGTATAAGCTCTCTACAATACGAATACCTGCAGGAGGACGAAAATCGTGGCGCACAAGCTTAGTAGGCAACACTTCGGAATGGACGTGGAAAAAAAATAGAGCCAGCTTACAAGATGGTGCAAAAAAAAGAGTACAATCACGACGGGTGAAATTTCGAATTTTGGCCAGGATATTTAAATTTTGAGCTTTGTGCACACCAGGACTTCGGTTGCGAGAATGCAGGCAACACTATAAACACCGCCATGGTTGAATGGTGCGATGGTACAACACCTGGGCCGGTCTCCCAAGTAGATTCTATATAGTTTTGACGCATATCTTACTCGAGACAGGAAATCTCTGGGTCGAATCCGGCAAAACAGAACCACATTTCTTGCCATGCTGGTACCCATGGATAATCAAGGGTTTTGAAATTCCCTTTGGTGGATATTCACGGAGGAGATTCGATTGCTTAACGTAAGCAAACATACCTCATAGTGGTATTTGCGAGTAAAATTTAGGATAGAACTGACTCTAATTTCAAAAGAGTCAATTAACATGTATACATAGCACTGATCGTGTCATGGCTAGATAGCTTATTACTCGTTAATTTATTTTTTAAATACACCCAGCGTCTCCCAAGAAAAACATCCAATATTTTCGATTCGGGAATGATTATTAATATGTTCTGCCTTCAGAATTTAGATTCTCAGCTCTTGATAGAACCTCTGTTATGCTCAGCTATGTAGTATGGTAGATCTAGTACCTGGTGCATAGGTAGTTATTATGGCAGCATGGCACTATGGCGCATGGAGGGGATCCAGTCTCTACATAAAGACATTACAAGTAGTACTGTGTGCAGTATGAGAGATGGGTTGTTGATGTAGGAAAAATGGCATGGCTGCTTATTTTATTTATTTATTTATATTAACGTCGT